GAGGTCATACAACTCATGAGATAATGCCATATTATATATTTAAATGAAGACAAAAACATACTTCTTCCCCAATTAACTTTTCCTAGACTTCTCGAAAAGTGTGCAGGGGCACACACACACAGATCAGTAAGATTTTCTCATTTAATTTTTTTAAAAAGGGAAATTCTCAAAGCATTGAGAACAAGTCGACTATAACAAAATAAACACATCCACATATCACAACAAGCATATGCATACAAATGGTTTTGTTAATATATCAGCTATTGATTTAAAAAAACCATCCATGTATGGAGTTTTACGGCAAGAGTTTTACGGCAGTTAGCTCACTTGATTATGTATGATTTATGTCCAAATACCACAAGACTCATGCAATCAACAAATATTTTTACATTTACCTAAAAGGAATAGCACAAAATTTTATGTGAAGTTTATTATATGAAGCCAACAGATTGAGGAAAAAATTCTCTGAACTTCCAGCTTTTAAATCTCAAATCTGGCTCCTATTTGGCAACTCACACCCGTCCATGTCAACTGAGCAGTTCCCAGAAGGCCTCCCAACCTAATCCTCAATCGGCTCCACTGTGGGCCCCAGCCCTTCCCCACCCAGTCAAGAGGCCATTCAACAAACGCTAACCGACCTCCATCCTAACATCAGAACCCACGGCCACTCTTCAGTCCCCCTTTTATGTGCCCTCTACTAGAGGTTACTGACAACGTCCTTTGCCCTTAGACTCGGATCTACCAGTTTCCCTTCATTAATCCCTTTATTCTTCTAAGCACATTAATTGCTGATTTTGAAAAGCTCTATTCTTAGTCCTTGGCTCTCGTCTACAACCTAACTCTGGGTGATCTCATTCATTACCAAGAGTTCCCCACTCAGATTAGAGAAAGCTGAACTTCCATCTCCAGCACTCCTTCTGTACCGTCCCAGCCCCCGCCAGACCTCTGCTTTCCATACCTCAGTCCACGGCAACCGAACCAGTCATTTTCCTTAGACTTCATGGAGCCTTCTGGCTGCTACGCTTTTGCACTGCCAGAAGCCCTCACTATTCTGGCTGTCTAATTCCTACATACTCCTCAATATTCAGCTCATGCCACATTTCTGGGAAGCCATCCTAAGCTAAAAGAAAGAAAGAAGAAAAAAGAAGAAAGAAAGAAGAAAGCAAGGAAGAGGAAAATGAAGAAGGAATTAAAAAGACGAGGAAGAAAAGGAAGAGGAACAAAAGAAAGAAGAGGAAGAAGAAATAATCACCAAAATGCTATGCAACTTTCCTCCGTGTTCCTGTAACTCACTTTCTACTAAAATTGTGGCTTTGTCTCTTTCCACTAGACTTGAGAGCAATCTGAGTAGAGCAAGTGTGCTGAATTTTGTGAATCTCCAGCACTTAGAACAGCACCTGGAAAATGAGGTCCTCAAAATGTTTGTTCAATTGAATAAATTAACCATTTCCTTTTCTTTCTTTTCTCGAGACAGAATCTTGCTCTGTTGCCCATGCCATGGCGTCAGCCTAGCCCACAGCAACCTCA